GCTTACACACATGGGAGAGTTAATTCTCTCTATAACGTTATTACATTTATGCTAAGTATTTAAAGCTTAGACTATCTGAGATATATGGTATATTTATATATAGTATATTAGATATAATATTAGTCTCTAATGAAGTCCCGGCAGACACTAAACACTCTCACTGAATGTCCTAGCCAGACATCATTTTCATTGGAATAAAGGTAACTTACCCTGATCTTTAGATTGATCTTCCTTCTTCAGATATTATTTTTATATCTCAGATATGTTCATCAAATTCTGGGTCTTTTAACATAATTCAACAAAGTTCCTAATTTACTTTGTTTTAAAAAATGTGATTCCTCTAAAATCAAATCCTGATCATAAACCTCTCTATGCCAGCAGTAGAGAGGTCTAAGCTTGGCTTTAATGACTGGCGGTTCTCTTTCTGCCACAGAGCTATTCTTTGGAAAATGCTTATAAGGCTTTTAGGATTAACCCTGCTATGTTTACATGTGAAGGGTTAAAACCTGAGGGACCTGGCACCCAGACCACTTCATTGAGCTGAAGTGGTCTGGGTGACTATAGTGTCCCTTTAAGAAAGACATCCTTGTATTAACAGTTGCTTCAGACTACCATCAATTTCTAGAATATCCAAGGTTTTCCTTGAAATTCTACAAAATGTTTTGAAGAGCACATATATGAAAACTAAAATGTATGTATTTGTATGTAAAAGTAACTTTTTAATTATTTATTTATCCTAAAAAAAATCACAAAAAACAGAACAATGTAGGAATGTGGTTCCTTAGAACAATATTATATAATAGAGCAATATTTTTTTAAGTGATCTGTAGACATGAACTGATATGTGCATGATGTATCATATAAAATAAAACATATTTTAGATCTAGTTTGATGTCTGGTGTAATTTAATTGTGTAAAATATGGATTCTAACTCAAAGACTATGTAATCTTTCATTTAGGTGAAAATAAAATAAATGATTCAGCATGCACCGTTGACTCTCCATATTTGCTAAAACTACCAGGTAAGCAAAGTTTAAATCATCCCATTATATTTTGAATAGTTTTTTTGATGTAATATCAGATATTAAAAATTATATTTTTTAAACATCATGCTTGCTAGCAATATAGATGTATATATTATATTATTAAGTATGTTATATGCACTCATTGAAATTGGAGAGATTATTACTCAACTAAAATGTCCAAAATCTTACAATACAAAGTGGATCTTATTCGGTTGAGTAAAGTTGTAATTATAACTACCGATCCATCCAATCATACATATTTGTGTACCAAAGGACACTACTGAGCCCCTGATATGTGCATTTCGCCAACATGCTTATCAGTAGACATGTGCAATTAGTTTCGGTTTGAATATGAATTCGGCCAAATTTCGGGAAATTCAGACATTCGGATACTTCCGAATGTCCAAATTGCAGAAGTGCCGAATTGCCCAGGTCCCAAAGTTCTGAAATTACTGGATTTCCGAATTGTCAAAGTGCTGAAGTTCTGAAGTTGCGAAGTGCCGAAGCACAGTATTGCCTAAGTACTAATATACTTACCCAGTGAAAGAAGAAGAATGTTACATTGTATACAATTTTAAATAAAAAGTATACAAACATAGCCAGGATTCAGCTGTAAGCATTTGCAACACTTACAACAATCAAATAACATACATTCATATAAAATGTAAGTTACTTAGACTGTCAATGTAATGACAGGAATGAATAAGTAGATAGCTCCCTAATACCGTGGGAATTAGGGAGTTATCTACTAAAAGGCTGAAAGACCTAAATTGGTCTTTCAGCCAAATTTACTAATACTAAGTAAAGATTAATTAGTATTAGTAACTTATGCCCCTACTCGCCATACCGCGAGTAGGGGCATGTCTATTAAACAGTGAGCAGCCTTCCGAGCCCCGCCCCATGACGCGCGAGTGGGGGCTTTTAAATTAAATGGGGGACATATTGCCCCCCTGGCCCCCACCCCTGAGTGGTGGGTGGGGGTGTGGGCCTTAATAGTAAAATAAGGGGGGGACCTAATGTCCTCCCCCTGGCCCCCACCCCTGAGCAGTGGGTGGGGGCCCTAAATACTAATAAAGGGGTGGACCTATTGTCCTCCCCCTTAACCCCCACCCCTGAGCGGCGGGTGGGGGCCCTAAAAAATAAAAAATGTTACCCCCAGGTGACTAGGGGTCCCCAAACCCCTAGTCACACCTCCACCCCAAAAAAAAAATAACCCCCTACCTACCCCCCTCACCCTAAAAATAATGAGGGGAGGGACCTTTAACTAAGTACCTGTAAACAAAATAAAAATAAAACTTACCATTCAATGTTTTCTTTCTTCTAAAGTCTTCTTTTTTCAGCTTAAAAAGCCTTGCCCCACCCTGCAATTAGGCTCAGAGCACTGATTGCTGGGTTTAAGCCATCCTGAGTGCTCTGACAGGTAAATGAAGAGACTGACAGGTAAGTCTCTACATTTACCTGTCACAGCACTCTGATTGGTTGGCTTGAAATCCACCAATCAGAGTGCTCTGTGTCATTTTACACAGCGTGGGAAAGTTCTTTGGAATTTTCCCATGCTGTGTAATTTGACTCATAACTCTCTGATTGGTGGATTAATTAACCAATCAGAATGTTATGAGTCAAATTACACAGTGTGGGAAAAAAACAGGCTGCTCACTGTTTACTAGACATGCCCCTACTCGCGATATAGTGAGTAGGGGCAAAATTTACTAATACGAAGTCATTTTTACTTAGTATTGGTAATTTTGGTAGATAACTCCCTAATACCTTGGGAATTAAGGAGTTATCTACTAAGTGGCTGCAAGAGAAGTCCCGAAGTGCCCAAGTCCCAAAATTCCGAAATGTCGAAGTGTCGAAGTCCCGAATTGCGAAAGTCCCCAATTTCAGAATGCTGAACCGAACCGAAAATTTTCCCCATGCACATGCCTACTTATCAGAGGGAAACAGATTTTGTTGATTTTAGTAATGATCTTGAGGAAAGGGATTATTTAGGCTATAATCAGTTGATAACAGCTAGTGATAGGTGCCCTCGAAGACACAAGATCAGGTTGCAGGTTTGTAGAATAGCACGATCATTTATTCGGTACCCCAAGCTTGACAAAGGCCCTAAGGGGTCAAAACATTGCCTTTTGGTTTCTGGTTCTAATAAAATTGCCTTTGCTTTGGAATTCGTTGGAGTGCCTGGATTATTTTCTATATTCAAAATTCCATGTTTGGTCCTTCCTGGTACTGGGACTTATCCATTAGAGCAACCTGAATTCCATGACGAAGGGTTGAGTGCACTTTCACTATCTACAAATCACTTTCCAAGTTCATGATGGTGACTAAAAAATTGCAAAAAATATGATAAGCAATTACTATTAGTATTGGCATTTTTATAGCACCAACTTATTCTGCAGTGCTTTAAGAAATGTATGTTGATGTCAGAATGGGCTTCACTAAATTATATTTCAAAATCTTTCCAGATTTTATTCATCTTTTTGGGGGATGGGCCATAACCACTAGCACAATGTAGTAGTTGCAGTTTTTATTGCCTTTTCCATTATGTTACTTTAAAAAATATTGCATAAGCTTTACAACTTCTTTATGAAATTAACAAATATTTCCATGTCTTCGATTTGCAGTTCTGAAACCCCAGCTTAGATACTTTAAAAGGCCAACATACGGTACTACAACACGACTACCCAGCTTTCAAAATAAACCAGAAGAAAGTGCTGCAAAGTATAGGCCCGTTGACCAAAGAGGAAGGATGAAGAAAATCCAACACATTTCAATTCACTGGAGCAAAAACTAATGAGTGAAAAATTAAATTAAAAATATGCATTTGTGTTTATCTAACTATACATGATTTCATGAAAGCTTTCTATTGAATAGTGGATTGATATAATTAATACATAGTGCATTATTTAAGAAATCCATTTGAGGCACAAAGGACAAATAGTGTAGTAATCAGCAGAAATATTTTATTGATTTTCTTGGTGATTACTACACATTTAGAAATTTACTCCACTATTGCTCTTCAATAAATAAATCCCATAATTTGTGACAATTCACAATAGTAACATACTTCAAATTTGAAAACTAATATATAGCAATAATCGAAAATTAGGTTTGTACCAGGATGTAGTAGTGTGAAGACAAATATTAACACAAACAAATTAAGATAAAATAACACATACAGATAAGTTACTATACATCGTAATTTTTAATGCTAATGCTCAATGAAGTAATACAAATTTGAGAAACATTTTAGATCACAAAAAACAAAAAAACTATATACAAGTAAATAAGGAAATACAAATAATAAAGAATACATTCCAAATAAGCCTTTTGAAATACTTAATATATATATATTGTCTAGAAAATGGATGAATTGTATTTGTTTATTCCAATTCTTTAATTTTTTGATTGAACTTTATGAGTGCCCAACTCCCTTGGAAACAGACATCTTAATTATGTTTTCCTAGTGAAGGTTTTTTTTGGCAATGGTAGACCATGGTCATTCAGTCGATTGCACTATTGACATATTTATTTACTAAACAGGGAGATATATTAAATATGGAGAAAATAGTCAGGAGTTTTAAGGCAGAATTTTGACATAAGCCAGCAGAATTTATTTTTGACTTTGTTAGAAATCTCATGAGACAGGGCTATGAGTTCCAAAAAAAACCCACAACTAATTTACCATGTTGAAAAGGGCAGTTATAATGTTATCAGCAGATCTGGAGATTTGTTTCAGACTGAACTAAAATTCATCCAAATTTAGGCCGATTAAGTAATTAGAAGAAATTCCAATTTCCATACTGTCGCATGCCAGTATCTTCGGGGAAGTGATTAGAGAGAGCCTGAACATGTTCGATTTCATTCATAATTTGGTGTGCCTTTCCTGACAAGAAAAAAGGGGGATAAAATGGAAAAAAATGTTTTTTTTTAGGTGGGGAAAATAATTAAAGCGTACAGTCTGTAAGAGGTGGGGTTTAAAACACAATAGGACAGGTTCCCATAATGGTCTGCCCAATTATGTGGGCTGGATCTCTTGCCCAATCAAGAGGCAGCAAGCAAAAAGATGATGGATGGTTAGCAGACAGCCACCAAATGTTCATTTTATTTACAGATCAAGTGACAACTGACCAATAGAGGTAGAAAAAAGGAGGAGAAATAAAACAACTATTCTTCTAAGCATATAGACAGCTGTTGAGTGTTATGGGAATATGCAGAGAGACCAAAACATTTTTTTTCTTGTTCAGTGTCATATTTACTAATTCATTTTAGGCAGTCCATTACAGTCAATGAATGAGAATGTACTAGTATTCACACCTTGGGTGTAAAGGTCCAGGTCATTAACAATGGTCTTAACAATCTTATCTATATATTGGATGGTCTACTAGATATTTAATAATGATGATCACAGTCTTGTAAAGATCTTGGAGAGTTTCTTAGGGTCTTTGATTATATATCAAACATACAGGATGAGATTATCACAAAATGGAACTTACTGTACAAGATGGCTGATCCAGATCCCACATCATGTGCTCATGTGGTACCTATTTAGCTATCATATTATACCATCTATAACATGACAACACTATACTGTAACATTTTGGCCTGCTACAACAAAACAATATACGGTATGATAATATTATAAAAGTGACTACATAACTATGTAAGGTATCTGCTACTGCAAAGCAATATACTGTAAGGATAAGAATTTTAAAGTGACTAAGAAGCTAAGTAAGGTATGTATTATAGAAACAAGATTAAAATGGGGGAGCCTCCTCACAGCCCAGAGACTCAATAGGGGAGATGGACTGGTGGGTGGCTACCGCACTGTGTCACCTACTACTGTTCTCCCTAAGTTAGGGAATAACCCTCGTAAAAAGTAAACAAACAAAAGGGTTCACAGATCAACATGAAATGGGGGACCCAGATGGGAGGGAAATGGATAGAAAGAAAGAAAGAAAGAAAGAAAGAAGGGGAGCCTGCATTTATTGCTTCTAAGGGTCAGAGGTTAAAATAATATTAATACCAAATCGTGCTAATGCCAGGAAAACTGGGGTATACAAGTGACCATTTTTCATAGATATGAAATGCAATATATATTCAAGTTCTGGGGGTAAGTGGCAAGGTAAGAGGGAGTAAATAATTTTTTTTTATAAATAATTGAGAAAGTAGTACCCTGGGGGAGAAATAATACAGACAGATATACTCTCTACAAAAGAGAAAGCCTCTATACAGTTTTCTTATGCACCCAAACCAGTATGCCTATAGATTCAAAGAGGGGTGGAGAGAAACAGAGAGAACAGATAGAATATACACCAAGACTTTCAATAAAAGGCAGACCTCTTAAGATATATATATATAATAATAAAGAAAATTGTATCCTCCTTCACAGACCCTTTTTACCTTGGTAGTGTAGTGGTAAACTACTCGTGTCTACCTAAACCACTAGCCCAAATGAAACTTGTCAAATCATAATGAACATGTGAAAAGTTTAATAAAAGTGCTACCCAAAGATAGTGATAAAGAAAAAAAGAAATAAAAAGCCCAACACGCATTTCAGCACACTGTCGTGAGATGTACCCAGAATCATAGGTATACTGGTGTGGGTGTAGTGCAGATGCAGTTGGCAGAAACTAATAGATCGCTATATTTTTTCTACACTGAAGGATGGTCACTGATGCTACAGACTGAATGTGTAGGAAAGCTTAGGTCTTGTCAGGATGATGAGTGGGTGCTCAATAGCCCAATTACTTTTTCCTTTCATTTTTGAATAGATCTACTATTTTGAGCTTGAAATGCCGCCTGCTCCTAATTTTTCAATTATAAAAACTTCCTTTTTTGCTTTTTAAATCCAAATATATAAGACTAATTTAGGCAACTCGGAATTTGCATTGCAAAAATGGCTTATTTGCATAGCCATTAAGCCAGGAAATATTGCAGCTGGTTTTACATGGCAGCGTAATAATAGGCAGCAGTTTTACAGCTGTCTGAATATATTTCATTACCAAAATTGGGCAGAGCTGAACAGTGACATGAACTAAATTCTGTTGAGCCCACCAAAAGAAAAAAATTATAATAATTAAGTGCTTTTGAAGGACCAAGTTTTGCACCCTGCTCGAGTTTACGTATTGAAAGTACTTGCCTAGTAATAATGGGAGCCAATCCCTATTTGATAAGGGAGTATTCCCCATTCCCCATTCACTAATGCCAGCAATACATTATTGTGGATGTGTGTTTTTCTATTGATTTTGTTTTAAAATAGCAAATAACAGGAGTTTTATTAAAAGTAAGTTTGAACTATTGCCAATTTTAAATTATTATATATGGCAAATAATATTTCCTAATATTTTGCTATTAACAAAATGGACACAAAATCACTTAAGTGTTTTTAATAAACCATGGATCTCAATAGACAAAAGTTACTGTTTAGAAAAATGCCCCCCATAACTTTTGGCTGTAGGAAAATCTCTGTTTACCTTATTACTTTGAAATTCATTTTAATGTTGGCATCAAACTACTTACTGAAACATTCAATCCAGCTCCAGTAACAAAATCATGAAATAGCTCAATTGACCTAAGCCACCCCTCTGATTAGCAGAACGTTATTGGTATCTAGTAGTAACTTACAAAGTTAAACTTTCACATATTAAAGCAGCAGAAAGAGTCCAGTTTTTACTACAATATGTGAATCAGTAAGTAATCTATCATGTTTACAGGTAATTAGGGTGTTAGGGTGCTTAGAACATCCATTTAATACTGTGGAGGAAATGGTGATGAATGAATGATTAGAATTTACACAGCTATTTAGTTACTATTTAGTTACAGAGATGCACAATTAGGAATTTCCTCCATAACTGTAAACACTAAATTCAATAGTCGGAGAGTTATCTTAAAGTTAAACTAAAACAAAAAAATTAATAAGAAGCACATCCAAATTACATTTTTATTTCCATGCTATTACAAGTGAAATATAGCTTTACCTTATCTTTTGTAGTAGCCACTTAGCCACAAACACTTGCCAAAGTTAGCGTTCATTTTTTGTTTATTGCATTTTGTTTACACAAAAACTGCACTTTTACTGGTGATTTCATTGTTGTGATAAGTTTTACAGTTTTAAAAACTCATATTTGTGTTCAGTGAAGTCTCCCGAGTATAACAATACCCCCCATGTACAGGTTTTATGGTGTTTTGAAAAGAACAAGGGTCGATATAGGGCTTGCCCAATTCAGTTTGCCAGATTGGTTTGCTGGGTCTGTGTTGCCTTTGAGACCATATGGTAGCCCAGGAATGTGAAATAACCCCATCATAGCATAGCATTTTCAAATGAAGACAACCCAAGGTATTCCAAATGGGGTATTTCCAGTCTTTTGTAGTAGCCACATGTTTTATGCTGTTTTAAAAAAGGTACAGGTACAATGTAGCGTTTTTATTTGTAGTTTTTTTCATATATATATATATATATATATATATACATGTGTGTGTGTGTATATATATATATATATATACACACACACACACACATGTGAGATATATATATATATATATATATATATATATATATAGATATATATATGAAAAAAAACTACAAATAAAAACGCTACATTGTACCTATACCTTTTCAAAACAGCATAAAACATGTGGGTACTACAAAAGACTGGAAATACCCCATTTGGAAAACCTTGGGATGTCTTCATTTGAAAATGCTATGCCATGATGGGGTTATTTCACATTCCTGGGCTACACACACACACACATATAGAGATAAATTTACTCATACTTACCGTAATTTTCTTTTCCTGGTCATAGGCCATGGCAGCACAACAATGGGTAGCTCCTCCCCTATCCCTAGTTAGACAGGAATAATTAAAATAAGGGTACAAATACCCCCTCCTACCTCCTCCTCCCTCAGTCTAGTTAACAGCAATATCCCTGGGTGGGATCTTTGTGCTGCCATGGCCTATGACCAGGAAAGAAAATTACGGCAAGTATGAGTAAATTTATCTCTTTCCTGGCCATATCCATGGCAGCACAACAATGGGTAATACCCAAGCTAAAACCAAGGGAGGGAAAGAAAAACTCAGACACATTATTAAATAATGCAAGTGTATTGTCACAAACAACTCAATGTGATAAACAAAAAGAATAGTAGTTAGTCTTATGAGGCAGAAAGAACTGATCTGCCAAATCCATCGTATTGGCCAGCTCTTACATCTAAACGATAATGTCTAATAAATGTATTAGAAGATGACCAAGTGGCTGCTTTGCAAATCAGTTCTGTAGAAACCTTTGCTGCAGCTGCCCAGGATGAAGAAAGGGAATGTGTAGAGTGAGCCTTCAAACCTTCAGGGACACTAGTTTTAGATGACCTATAAGATTGGATAATGGCCGAAACTATCCATCTGCTGATAGTGGCTTTCGAAGCTTGCAGACCCTTCCTAGGGCCATTAGGAATAACAAAAAGCCTTTCCGAAATACGCCATTCTGAGGATCTCTGTATATATATCTTAAGGCATCTTACTAGGTCGATAGCATCATCATCAGCGTTTTCCCTGTTATTAGATTCTTCTGTACTTAATGCTGGAAGGATTATCTCTTCATTCATATGGAACTCTGAAGTCACCTTTGGGCGGAATTCTGGAACCGTTCTCAGGATGACTCTGTCCTTATGAAATATCATAAAAGGTTCTCGAGCTGAAAGAGCCTGGAGATCAGAAACCCTTCTACCAGAGGCTAGGGCTACTAGTAGAACTGTCTTGATCGTGAGAAGATGACAGGAAATTGATGTCATAGGTTCAAAAGGATCTGCTTTAAGAGCCTTCAGGACCAGAGGGAGATCCCATCCCAGAGTAATAGACTTAATGGGTGGCTTGATCTTGAGGACTGCAGTCAGAAATCTAGCTATGTCCGGATCCAGTGCCCATCTATGATTAGTTAAAGCAGAGAGGGCAGAAACATGCACTTTTAGAGTGTTATAACTCAATCCCTTCTCTAGACCTGATTTTAAAAAATCAAGAATGTCAGTAGTCGAAGGGTTCAACATATCAAAGGGCCTTGAACTGGCCCATGAAGAAAATACATCCCATATTCTGTAGTAAGTGGATGAAGTAGACTTCTTCCTTGCTTGAAGAAGTGTCTCGATAACTGATCTCGAAAATCCCTTGTTCTTTAACCCATCCCTTTCAAGTACCATGCCATCAGACGAAGGGATGCTGGGTTTGGATGGTGAATTGGACCCTGATGTAACAGGAATGGGACCACTGGAAGGCGCCATGGATCCTTCTTGCACAGACTTAGTAGGAGCGGAAACCAAGGTCTGCGAGGCCAAAAAGGGGCTATTAGAATCAGTGATGTCTTCTCTTGTCGTAGTCTCCTTAGCAGAGGGAAGATGAGGGGTTTCGGAGGAAAGGCATAAGCCAGGTCGAAGTTCCAACTGCATGTCAATGCGTCTCTTCCTATGGCCTGGGGATCTGGAATTCTCGAAAAGAAGTTCTTGACTTTTCTGTTGTTGCTTGTAGCCATTAGATCTATCTGGGGAAGGCCCCATTTTTCTACGATCTGTAGAAATATTATGTCTGATAGACTCCATTCTCCCGGGTCTAATTTCACCCTGCTGAGAAAGTCTGCCACAGAGTTCTGAGTTCCTGGGAGATGTATTGCAGAGATATTCTCCAAGTTCATTTGAGCCCAGGCCATCAAAGGTTTCATAAGTTTCATCATTCTGCAACTTCTTGTCCCTCCTTGGTGATTTATATATGCCACAACTGTGGCATTGTCTGTCCTGATCTTGACCCATTTGTGAAGTAAAAGTTGCTGGAAGTGCATTAGAGCCTTGAAAACTGCCAGAAGTTCCAGAAGATTCGAAGGGGTGTCGGAGGTTGAAAATGCCCATTTCCCCTGAACATAGTTGTCTTGAAGGTGGGCTCCCCAGCCCCATTGACTGGCATCTGTGGTGATGATGATCCATGGAATGTTTCCTAAGGGATAACCTCTGAAGAGAGACTCTTTCTGGGTCCACCACTTCAGGGATTCTTGTACGTGAGGAGGGATCATTATAGGTTGAGACAGATTGCCCTTGAATTGAGAAAGGAAATTCCTTTGGAAAGGCCTCATTCTCCATTGAGCCCATCTTGTAAGTCCTATAGTGGAGGACATTGATCCCAGGAGGCTCATGATTGTCTCTGCTGAGGAAACACTGGATGCTAACATGTCTTTGACCTTTTCCCGAATTTTCATACCCCTTTCTGGGGATAGTTGGACGGACCCTTCTGCAGTGTTGAATGCTGCTCCTAGATATATCATGTTCTGGGATGGTTTTAAGTTGCTTTTGGCGAAATTGATCTTCCATCCGTGTTGTTGAAGATACTGTATACATATCAGGCCGTGATCTTCTAATATTTCTCTGTTTTCTGCCAGAATCAGGATGTCGTCGAGGTAATGATATACTGCAATGCCTTTCTTCCTGAGTTCTGCGATGAGAACCACCAGAACTTTTGAGAAAGTACGTGGAGCAGTGCTTAGCCCAAAGGGGAGAGCACGGAACTGAAAATGCCCCTCTTCCACAGCGAATCTGAGGAATCTTTGATGCTGGGGTGCTATGGGAATATGGAAATACGCATCTGCCAGGTCTATTGACATGAGCCATTGATTTGGAAAAACTGCTTTTACGATGGATTGAAGAGACTCCATCTTGAATTTCCTTATGTTTAGGAACTTGTTTAGTCTGCTTAGGTCTAATATAGGTCTCCATCCCCCTGTGGATTTTCTGGCACATATTCTGGAAAAGTAGTAGACGGGCACCTACTCCTCCAGAATGGTAAGTGGGTTTGTCATAAAGGCTTCTTGTGAAATGAGGAACCTCTAGACTTTCCTCCTCTGTTGGATGAATGTCCACCTCTCCATGCAATAGATCTTCCATATTCTCTTCCCGGTTTATAAGATCTGGTATCGCGAAAAGAGGGGTACTCAGAGTATCTTCTGGCTCGAAAGGATCCACGGGTTTTCCGGTCTTGTGGAAGAAAGGCTTTTTTACCTTCTGCAGCTCTTTTGATGCACTCGTCTAGGTTTTTACCAAACAACATCTCACCATAAAAAGGAAGGGCGCATAGACTAGACTTTGATGATGAATCTGCGGACCAGGATCTCAACCATAAAGCTCTTCTAGCTGAAATTGAAAGAGCCATGTTCCTTGCTAAGGCTTTCACCATGTCTACCGAAGATTCTGACGTAAAGTCAATGGCCAGTTTAATATCATTTAATCTTTCCAGAAGAGAAGATCTGTTTCTCCCATCTCTGATATCCTCTTCCAAGTTTTCGATCCAGATTTTCAAGGCCCTGGATACTGAAGTAAGAGCTATAGCAGGGTGAAAACCAGTCCCTGCTGCAACATAAGCCTTTGAGAGATGCAGATCCATCTTCTTGTCCATTGGGTGTCTAAATGAGCCTGCATCATCTACTGGCAATGTGGTATGTTTTGCAAGTCGAACTACTGCTGCATCCACCTTAGGGGCATTATCCCAATGGTATGAATCAGACTTGTCAAAAGAATAGAGGCGAGAAATTCTGCCTTGTGCTGAAAGCTTATCTGTATTAGACCATTCGTCTTTAATTAATTCCTTAATAGTATCATGCACTGGAAAGGTTGCTCTTTTCTTTCTCAAGTCTGAGAAATAACGATAAGAGGTTGACTGTTCTGCAACTGCCTCTCTTAAGCTCAAAGATTTACGGACTTTGTAAATGAGGTGGTCTATCTGAGCAGGTTCTAGAAAATCTGCAGGGGCCTGAGTTTCTTCTTCGTCTGAAGATAAGAAATTCCCCTGGTATGATTCCATATCCATGGATTCATCTGACGAATCATGATGTTGGTAATCCGAAGGTTCATGTAACCGGGGTCTTTTGTGACTTGCCCCTGCTTCTTTGATACCTTGAGCCACCGCTTGTTTTATGAATTGTACAAATTCCATTGAAGGATTAGATGTTCCAGCTGCTTCAGATAAACATTCTGCACATAACCGTTTGCCCTCCAGCGGTTTTTTATTACAGGCTTCGCATTGATTTTTCTTTGGAGATTTTCCTTTGGATGATCTCACTGTTTTCTTTCCCGTAGAACTATCATGATAGGGAAATATCTCATATTAGCACTCTTTTACTTTATGTATCCAGAAGAAAAATTAATGATATGATATGGCTTACCTATAACTCCTAGAGTGTGACCTATTTTTATATCCAGAAGAGTCCGAACCAGAAGACATTGATCTCCTTTTGTCTTTCTCCATTGTGGAGATGATTACGAAATAGTCTAGAAAAGTAATTTAATTAGTATAGAAAGAAAAGAAAATGGGAATGGAAAAAAAAATAATTATGTGTATATACCTTTAAGAAGTAAAACTTACCTTCAAATATTTCTTGCAAAGGAAATGCTATTCAAAGTAGAAAATGTATGAAAACAGGACTTCTAGAGACCTAATAAGAACCTCAGGTACACTCTATATACGCTTTTGGCGCTTAAATAGGCGTGTGACGTCATATCTGACGTCACCGCCTATCCGCGCATGCTCAGAACGAGCTAATTCACCGCTCGCCAACTGCGCATGCGCGGCACCAACCCGGAAGCAACCTCCTAGCAGGAGGCACCCTTGCTGCAGCCGGAACCCAGGCGCCGGCTTAGGCGCGCGTAAGGACATAGCGTGCACGCGAAACTGGCGTGCACGCGAAGCTAGTGTGCCCGTGAATGAGCGGGCACGCGCGAAAACGGCGCACATGCGCCCCAGGAGTTACAGGACGCCGGGAAGGCTAGTGCAAAAAGTTAAAGAAGAAAGGTACAAAGCAATCATAGGTAGGGGGGGGAACCCCACACATATGTAATTAACAGAATATATGCAGAAAGTATTTGTTTGGATGATCTCACTGTTTTTATACATACATGTGGGGTTTTGTACTTCAATGTAGAAATCCATCCAGAATAGGGTCTTCTCGCCACTTCCTGCTACCTCTTGGTCACTGCAGGGAATCAGAATTATTTTGGCATTTATTTTCTCTTGCTACCCCTAGGGTCACTGCAAGTAGGACCCCCGGTCACTAAGGGGGTATCTTCAGGGGGACACCTTTGCACAGGGCCGGATACTGAAGCTTCCCAAGGAAGAGAGGCTGAACTTCCTTGGGGGTAGAAGGTAAAAACCCTCAGGTAAGCCATAAAAGAAAAGTGATTATAGTCCTAAAATAGACTAATTTGGTCCTACAGGGATAGGACAGGAACAAAAAGACTGAGGGAGGAGGAGGTAGGAGGGGGTATTTGTACCCTTATTTTAATTGGTTCCTGTCTAACTAGGGATAGGGGAGGAGCTACCCATTGTTGTGCTGCCATGGATATGGCCAGGAAATATATATATACATACATACACACGTGTATTATATGTGTGTGCAGATATATACATAAATATATACACACACACACACACTTATTTATTTTTAGCAGCCTGGGGGACTGTCTGACAGCTCAGATAGTCCCCCAGCTAGCAGCTCCTAGACTCCTATTGCGGCGATGTGATCATGGTGATTACATGACCCTGGTAGGCCGGAGCTGCAGCAGGGGGACTGTTGGGGTCTCCGGCAGTTCCCCAGCGATCCGTGTTCACCATGTTTACATTTATTTACTATATTATTATTTATTTTTTTACTTTTACCAAACTTTTTTTACTTTTTTTTCCACTGGCAGCACTGTGGACACCTATGGCGGCCATGTGACCGCCCTAAATTGGAGAGAGGGGACTGTCTGGGCTGCTGTGATTAAGAGAAGCCACTATTGCTTTAGGACTTTTTTGTTGGTTTTATTCACTGCATGATCATTTATTGTACTTAACATTGGCCCTGAGAAAGTTGTTTTTATGTGTATGACAAACTTTGGTAGCTGTATGAATGTTTCTAAAGCTGACAATTTTTAAAATAAACTTAAGTGACAATAAATTCCTTTGATTTTTGTAGTGGTGTCTTTGTACAATCATTGTAAGTCTATATTCTATGACATTTTCCTGGCTCCACTGATGGCTCCATCTGGATTTCTGAACAATAGAAGAGACTATATTTAGATTTTTCACATTCAAAGCTTGAATATCTACAATGCTTGTGAGTGGATTCGTGTATCATGTTATAATTTTTTTTTTTACAAATATATTTTACTATTATGGTTATTAATTTAAAAGACCCTATTGTGGCAGAATTTGCAATCCTCATATTTGCTAATATATTATCCAGTATGAATGAGGACCATTGCAGTGGTGTGGCGAAAATAACCATCCTAACACACAGAGTATAAGTAACTCATGACACTAAACCTAGAACATATTGCTGGTTCTTAGAATGGCTGGGTAAACGTAATAGGTCAGAGCAATAGGCAAGGTTTAGCCAGGAAAAAAGATGGACAGAAATCCGAGAAGCAATATACAAAACTAAGCCAGATAGTAGATTAGTCAAAGGATGCCAAGTAAAAAACAGAAAAATCTGAATATATATATATATATATATATATATATATATATATATATGTATATAATACACAAGATCCAGCGCACTCACCTATCCACTAAACAGCAACTTCAATGTTGAAAGATTTTATTTGTTTTTTTTAAAAACACCTAATCTAGGCAAAAATAATGTGGGTTTAGTTACATTATATGATCATACATTGCATAAGCCTGCCACAACGTCAATGTACCCCATCTTTGGCAGGTCCTACACTAACAGCCTAATGTCTGCTCTTATGAGATTAACCTACTTGGGGAAAGAAATTCCATCTTGGGCTCTCTGCAGTACAAGGCTAAATAGGGCCCTGGGATGAGGCACCTGTGACAGGGAGGGGTGCAAAACCAAGGA